ACGTTTATTTGGGGTTTTATTTTTTATTTTTTATTTTGATTATTATGTTATTTGCTAGTTTATAATGCTATCATTATATTTATTCTATTTTACATGTTTTGTATTGTTATATTTATATATTTTTTATTTAATATATTAATCTTAATTTATTAAAAACTATAATTATATTATGCGTATTGTGCTTTTTTTTTTTATAATTTGGTTGATAATTTCTACTCAATATTTATATAATTATATTTATTTTATTTAAAATGTTAATTTTGATATATTACATACTTTAATTATATACTAATTAAATAATATAATTATTTTGCTTCTATTGTCTTTCTAAATTATATTTTTAATTATTTTCAAATCACTAACGGCCCAAAAAGGTTATTCGCACTACTTGTGATGCGAAAATGAAGTCCTTTTTTTTTCCTTTGAATATTTTATTATTTATCTCTTATTTCGATTTTTATGTTATTCACTAGTTTATATTGCTATCATTATATTTATTCTATTTTACATATTTTGTATTGTCATAATTATATTTATTTTATTTAATATATTAATCTTAATTTATTAAAAACTATAATTATATTATGTGTATTGTGTTTTTTCTTATATAATTTGGTTGGTATTTTGTACTCTATATTTATTATATTTAAAATGTTAACTTTGATCTATTAGATACTTTAATTATATGTTAATTAAATAATATAATTATTTTACTTCTATTGTCTTTCTAAATTCTATTATTAACTATTTTCAGACCAGTAATGGTCCAAAAAAGTTATTTGGACCAATTGTGGTTCAAATAAGAAGTCCCTTTTTCTTTTTCTTTTTCTTTTTTCTAACATTTTATGTTTATTTGGGGGTTTTATTATTTATTTATTTTCAATTATTATGTTATTTGCTAGTTTATAGTATTATCATTATATTTATTCTATTTTACATGTTTTGTATTGTCGTAATTATATTTATTTTATTAAACATATTAATCTTAATTTATTAAATACTATAATTATAGTATGTGTATTATGCTTATTTTTTATAATTTAGTTGATATTTTCCACTCTATATTTATATAATTATATTTATTTTATTTAAAATGTTAATTTTGATCTATTAGATA